TTCATTTCAAGGGGCAAGGGGAAGGGGTGAGGGGTAGGCAAAGGGGTAGAAAATAGAATTGGGATTGGGCCTAAGTCTTCGGTGATGCTGTAGAAAGCAAAACTCAAGCAAACAGCTGCATTAAGCTTTTTTTTATTACATCTAAAATATGCAAAGACTAAATATATGACAGGCCATTCTGTTTTCATTAACTTTTTGCACAGTATATTACTGAAACAAAGGATTTTGGAATGGCCAATTTGGAATCTCTTACAGTGAAACCTGAACAGTTTGTAGAAGACAATGTATTTAGTTTCTTCTTCTAACAGAGAGAAATGCGTGGGATTAGCACTCCCACACACCAGCAGGTGTCTGTCTGCCAGGTCTGTGTGCATGGTCCCTATCCCATAACTACTCTCTACATCTAGCTCAGCATGCTGGGATCTGGATCGGCATTTGGCACCACACAGGCAGCCTGACCCACTTCCCTACTAGCAGAATTGGCAGCCAGCATGCCAGTATCTGGAGCAGGTGTCGCCATTTTGGCAAGAATGAGGAGTCAGGGGGGTGGGTGTGACCTTATCATCGGGGCTCCAGATGTGACCTGGGCAGCCATTGGTGGTGGGGGGCACCGTTATCCTAATTCTTTCTACAGCAGTCTTATCACTAACAAACATATGTGTGGGGATCTAGTAAAACATTACTGACTTTTACAGCAAAACAATATTTAATAGTTGTTTAGTAGAACTTAAAACTAGGTAACTACCTGGATATTTTACTTTAGAAAGCTGGATTAAGTACTTTTCTAAAAGGCTACAAAATAACAATATTCAAAGTTAAAAGGTGGGTATTTTAAATCACTCTGATTATAAACAGAGATTGAACCTGAGCCCTAACCACAGACGTTTGTCTCTTTTCCTAGTACTTCTGCATCTTGCATTGCTAATCATTGCTAATTCAGGGTACTCTGGTTTTGATTGTTAATTTTGTACTATCCCCTGTGTCTGAATACCCGTAAAACTCAATTTCCCATAACACATCGCAGACTTCTTACTTCAGAAAGAACCCCCACTTACAGTTACACACTAATGTTTTCTATCACTCCCTCTCTTTCATTCACTAGTTCTGCTCAAACCCAACCAGCCATGCCTGACTGGCATACAACATAGATACAGGTTTCACTGCAGGAGAGTTGAAGAGGCAGCCTGACATTGGAGCATTAGATTGATTCGCTTTAGGTTTTCATTTCCCTTCCTCAGATATTGTTCTCTGTGCCTTAAAAAAGCATGTGCAGGATCTGACCTTAAAGATTATCCACTGTATTTTTTATTAAGGGCATGGAGCAGAATGGGACCATAGTTCAATTCACTTGACTAGTCCAAAAAGTCTAATAAGTAGAGGTGGTGTGTGATTCAGCTGTGTTTGCGATCAGATTGTCGCTAGTTCAAATCCTGGGGGCAGCAGAGTGATTTCATCAATTGCTGCAGGGACTGGTTGTCCTTGATTTCTCAAAAAAGAGGAATTAAAGTAAAACATAAACATGAATGTAAGTAAAACATAAAATCTGGAAACAATAACAGGTGACTAATTGGTAATTGACAAATTAATAAAGTACAATCACATTCTGCAGGTGGACTTCTTACACAAGTAGACTGTTGGTTTTCTAAAGTAACTTTAAGAATAGCAAGCATTTTGGAATGCATTCTGTACTAGTATTATATATAAGTTTGTAAGAATAGGTGTACTAGCTTCTGTGATAGCAAAGTTTCTATAAGATGCCACTTTTGGACCAGGCAAAATGTATTGGTCTGGTTACAAGGAATGTCCAGAAGGCTGAAGGCTACAGATTGTGCACCACTCCTGTTCTTCCTAGTTCCTGCCAGCAGCTTTGGCAGTTCTAAGCCCTTCAGCCGATGGCTCTGGTACCTGTGGTGCTGTCGGCTCTAGCAGAGCACCTGCAGAGTGAGGCAAGGACCCTGCCAGTAAGCTGCCACTTGCTAAATAAGAGCCGTCCTCTACCAAGTTATGAGGACGTGCTTTACACCCTGGGTTTTATCACTGGGTTCCCAATAAGACAACATCTCTTCTCAAAGCTGGAAGAGTACAGTGTGAAAGAAAAGAAAAAATGCATGAAGATCACATTTCTGTACAATGAGTTTAGACTTTTATAACTGAATATAATTACTAGACTGTGATAATGACCTATATGTTATAGTTGTAATTATACAATCTCAGAGTTGGCATTTCATTGAGTATCATTTTTCTCTGAATATTATACAGAATTTCAGTGGGATTATTGGAAGATCCAGGTAACCCAAGCACGTTCTTCCACAAAATATGAGGAACACACGCATGCTCTTACTAAAATTCAATGACTTCCAATTTAAAAAATAATTAGTTTCATTCTTTGTCATACAATGACAAATTAGTTAATCAAGGAATCCAGGTGACCAATCACAGACAATAAGAAGCCATTACCACACATCAGGTCTGTTAGATGATACACGTAATATCATACACCATGGATTGTGTTAGAGTTAGAAAGAACATAGAAAGTTAGTATGATTCCTCATTGATAGCAGAATCACAACTCCACATTTATTGCAGAATTTTTATTGCACGAGTACTACTTGATGTTTATACTGACTAAATACACCTTCAATACAGGGTCATGGTGATCCTTATGAGAGAAAGAGCATGTATGAGACACACCAGGCAAAATTCCAGTCCATCCCAAGACACACACAACTTGTAGACACCAGATCAAACCAACATTTGACCTTTACCCAGAACACCCACCAAGCAGGGATTGGGAATTCAACCCAAGTCTTAAGTTATAAGGTTATGCTTGTTCCCACTCTGCTACTTGCAGCCTTTATACTTCTTGAACTGATTCACTTTTTGAGTGATATGCAATATAACCGTGAACTTAAACCAATAATTTTATTATTTTTATAACAGTATCATAAACTTGTGAGTGTCGCCAAGAGTACTAGCCTTGTTTGCCACGTTTGTCAATGTACCTGTAGAAAACAGGAATTTCCAAAACAACGGAAAGAACCATGACTCAACCCAAGGAACAAGCACAGCAGAGGGGCCTGTTACTGACACGTCATAACCAATTTACCACAGATATCATCATCAAAAGCATATGATAGGTTGACAGCTTTGTTTTCTAAGCATTTCCTGCGAAATTTTTCAAAATAATTTGTAAACATGCAAGCTACATCCCTGCCAATAAAAAGATATTAGGTAACACTTTATTTGACGGGGCACAATAAATAGCATTATATATACAATTATTGTAATGTATTAATTAACCACAAACTAAGTCTTAGTTTCATACTGATCGCATGTTAATTCATCATTAATGAATTGTGAAGCATCTTTTATCTCAGCAGTTACTATAATTGTTAGTATATCTGTTAATTCTGTAAACATTTGTGACCTACTGAAGGAAAAAGTAGTGAATAACACACGTTAAGTACTGATCTTATATTTGTTCATCATTAATGCATTGTGACTCAGCTAGATTTGTTCATGATTCTTTGTAATTTGTACTTCAGTAGTAACTGAGTTATTACTAAGTATTTGTGCCCAGTCAAGTATTGTGCTACAAGATGGGATTATCTTGTATATCTATTATAATCATATATAATTATTATTATTCTCAAAATAATATGTATATTAAAAATAATAAGCAGAATGTGTCAGTTTTCTGCAGTTAACAGTGGTTTTAATCTTCTAAACTTCTACAGTTCTCCTGGATATTAAAGTTAGGAATTTAGACATCAGACCTAGGTTTCAGGGTGAAATAAACAGTACCTCTTTAATATTTTTGTACGTTAACTGCTTAAATGCCATATTTGGCCACATGAATGGATAAAGTGTAAAGGTGTGACTGATGTAAGTATTTGGTAAGAAAACATGCAAGTCAACATAATAACATCTAAGTTAGAGGCACTTCCTTAAATGCAGTACCTCAGTAATGACACTGAGGCCTTTTTACAATGAACATGAGCTATGTTGCTTTGTGAAACAGATTCAGTTGTGCCTTTTAACAGTAAACCTTTGCTACCAAGCATAAAACTTAGATAAGAAGCCCATTCATTCAAAACTTCACATAGGAATATTGAGATTAGAAAATCTAACAAACATTTCATATTAAATAAAAAAAAAATAATTGCAGGTGCAAGTAAAAGGCTGCTTAAATTCTTGCCTTAGAAGATTCACAGGGCAGGACGAGTTGTGATTTCATTTGTCTTATTTCATCCTCAAAAGAGTCTCAAAGGCTGATGTTATATACCCATGCAAAATGGTGACTGGGGGCACAAGAATTGTGAAAGTGGAAAGGAAGGATCTCCACCATAAAGGCAATTGTGCTGAAGGCAAATTGATTAAGTTCTTTATCTTCATGATGAAATTAGTTGCAATGAATGTTTATGAAAAATGGCCCAGATTAAAGGATTATGGAATTCTCTGAAACATAGAACATCTTCTTCACTAGGAATAAAATAAAATTAAATCAAAATTAGGCATTAAGAAGGGTATTTTATCTATCTATTTCATCTTGTTTTTATCTAAACCATGTTAATGTCTACCTCATGACTTTTATCGTGGACTGTTAGAGGATATTAAAAAGTCGGAAGATGGAGAGGGACTAATGTGCAACCTCCTTAGCCCCCCTCTCTCTGACCATAAACAACTGGCACTTTTTACTTGGATACACACTGCAACCCCGTCACCTACGGCACGCTGCCTAACACACAGTCTGCACAAGAATCACAAGAAATTTGTGAATTACAGACTAAAGGTAACATTTACAGTAATTATGCAATTAATTGGTAATAATATAATATATGCTTCTGCCCTATACTCCATGACTGATAAAAGCCAAATAATACGTAATTGTATATGTGTCAGGGTCAGCTCCTGTTGTCCCACTCTGTTTCCCTTCCCTGTTTGGCCAGCAGGCGTTGCTGGTCATCCTGTCCCTCATGCTGTCAATCGTTGTGTTTTCCCCTGCTCCCTGTCAGCTGCATGACTCAACTTGTTACCTGCAAACCCCTCTGTCTTGTGTTTGAATCCTGCCTCCTCTGTTGTTGTATTTTGTTCCCTAGTGTTTCATTCGTATGAGTTTCCTTGTTCCTGTGTCTTGTGATTTGTATTTGGTTTTGGTTTCATGTTTTGCGCCCATGCTTGTGTTTTTACCTGTCTGTCATTCCCCTAGTGTAGATTCTGTTTCTTAGTCTCTTTGTTAGTTTGAGTTCCCCGAGTTTAATTATTAGTTTCAGCTGTTGCCTGTTTTTGTGCCTGCCCATCTGTGTTTACCTGATTGCTCGTTGTCCTTACCCCTCCCGGACTGGTTAATTGTCTGTCTCACTCCTGTTGTGTTGTTACCCGGTTTAGTTTTTGTATTTAAGTTCCTGATCCTGTTCTGTTCTTTCTGGAGTCATTGATGTTTCTTTAATGTATGTTTGTTAGCTTTATGATGTATGTTCTGCCCGGCCCTTGTTTGCACTGACCCAATTGTAATTAGTCTTTGTTTGTCCCCTTTTGCTTTTGACCTCTCGTGGTCCTTTTTGTTTTTTGTAGTGTTCCTTGTGTTTTCAGTTTGGCACGTTGGCCCTGTTTGTGGAGGGTCCCCATTTCCTTCCTATCTGCCTGCACCATGCCTCGTCCTCGTGCCCGAACCACCCGAGTTTGTAACAACGTGGAAATCCCAAATTTCGTTCCAACCTTTTAAAGAAAGCTCTTGTCAGGTGAAACCCCATTATTTCCCAAGTTAAACCAAGGTAAGTTTTACTTGGTTTATTTCCAGAGGATACATTTTTGGCACTCAAGCTATGAAGCACCCTTAACAGCTCCAACCGTTACTTGTTTAGAGAACTTTGTGTGAATGCTGGTGGTCAAAAAAGGGCAATCAGGACCTATAAAAGGGGAGCACTTTCAAATGTTTGGGCAAAAGGGGCAGGTGCACCAATGCAGGTCCCTGATGAAGTGCTGAATGACAAATTGAATGAGACAATGACCTTTGCACTGTATAATCTATTCATGAAATTTAGTGGTAATATCTACCTGTTCCTGTAATCCTCCAAGACATTTTAGTGAAACAGTACAGGCTTTTCTTGGCACGTTGGCTCAGCTGTATTAAAGGAATATAGATCACTTAATGATTTACTAAATCCAGGAGTCTGATAGCTTGACACCAGTGTTTTCTGGACAACAAAGCTACACTTAACAAGTGAAAAGTTCATCGGAAGCATGTTTAATACCACAATGAAGGTGTATCGCATGATATTGCTGCAAAGCTAAAAAAACAATTTGTATTACAATGGATACATACTGTTGTTTCCATTTAGGGCACAATGCCCCAAGGTTTAGAAGAATGGGATGACTGAACTGACACTAGCCATATGGGAATCCACTTGACGTCAAGTAGCAAAGGTGTGATTAGACTAAGTTCTGTAAGAGAATGATAACATTGGCAAAGCATTTACTTTATCACTGGATTATGGGATTTTTGGTTCTTATAAAACAGAGCATAGCTATCTTTCATTAGGTATATCATGGATTCATAACAGTACATCAATAAGATAGATAAAACCAAAGACCAATAGAGGATATCAGGCAAGCCTGAAGTCGAAAGAAAAAAGCAATCAGCCGCAACACTGCTGAGGCACCTTCACTTTTTTTTTGACAACTAAGCAAGTTAGTTACTTGACATTCTCATCAGTAATATTTATATTGTTTTTCAGTTTTAATTCAATGTTTCGATATTAAAATAATCATGTGGTGTTAAAGAGAAATAATTATCCAACACAGCTCACTGTTGGACAGCATGGTATCTCAGGTGAAAGCACTGTAACCTCAGATGTCCTGGGTTGTGAATTTAAGTCCTGTCCTGGTTCTTTGTGGGTAGAGTTTGTGTGTTCTCGGATAATTAATTCTGGCCATTTGGAGTTGAATTTGGAGTCACTAATTTGAGCGCATGAATTACTAATTTGTTCCCTCGAATTAACCACCAATAGGACAACACGAATTACTAACTGGAGCACATGAATTACCAACCCAAGAGCACAAATTAGTAGCTTTAACTCAAGAGCATGAATTACTAATTCGATAGCACAAACTACTAAATATTTTTTTCTACCGTGACACCTAAGGGGATCCATACACTTTTGAATAATTAGGTTAGGACAACCTTTTTGCAACTTTCGCTGGCACTAAGTCTGATTTTTCCGGCATCAAAAGAGCAAAATTGATTTGGGCACGCCCATAAATGTTAGTTTCACTTTGCACTTTATGCTTTGCGTTAGATCATCAAAATAGAGGTTCAGGTTTTGCAAAATACTTTAAAACTGAAGGGCTGCCATGCTCGGCTAAACTGTTTGGTTCGACTTGTACTTTTACTGGTTTGTTTCCTTGATTTGAAAGACTCATCCAGCTGTTTCACATTAACATTAGTGACATATGCATGATTATAGGAAACTGACTGTTAAACGCACTGCAAGAACTCAGTGCTTAGGTGATATCCAGGTGTTTTTAATTGTAATCGTTGAAATGGTAGCTTACAAACCCTGTCATATCTCAGTGTGGATTAGGTGGTCACTCTACACTGGGGTGAACATGTGAATTAAAGTTTTACAATGTAATTGGTAGTTGTGAATTACCGAACCACCCATTGCCGAAACACCAGAATCCATTTAGGCAACTAAATGCTCTTTCAGGGTGTTTTTGAAGGTTACACTTTAAATCAACCTGATTTTCATCAAACTCCATCAGACAATTACATCAGCAATTTAATTTAATGTAGGGGCAATACGTTATTTATAGTATCTAGATATATTTAGGGTTATTCTAATTACTTCTAAACTTCTCTTACTTTTGGCTAAACCCATTCATCCCAAACCATGATCTTGCACAGGATTAACTTTTGGCTGATTCAGTGATACTCAGTGCAGGATTGTCAGTTCTGGCACGCACGCACACAGGCACACACACAGACACACACACACACACACACGTCTGACTCTACCCTTCCCGAATGAGACAGTGTCCTGTACTGCGAAGCGGGGTTACTGGCTTATCGGGGTAACTTGTCGGATTTAAAGTAACAGTTTAAAGGGACTTTACTCCTTCACTTCCATTTTGCCCAGGCTACCTTAAATCCGACAAGTTACCCCGATAAGCCAGTAACCCCGCTTCATAGTACAGGCCCCAGGTTCCTGCTTTCCTGTGGGGAAAGCAGCCTTACACAGACAACTACAAAAAATGGCTGTTCCTATAAAATAAAATGGAAATTGCATGTAACTTATTGATTGATAAGACATGACTGTTTTCTACAGGAATCCTTAAGAGTTTAAATAATATTCCTTGCCAGTGTCGTCGAAATTTTGTCGTCCTGTGTTTACTGATGCATAAAAGAGCATTATCATATATGGAAAGTGAAACTTGTTATTTTTGGTTTCATATTATTTATCTGTTTTTCTGGCATAAAAATCAGTATTGGACCACTGTCCCATCACCTTTACTATTTGACTAATAGTAAACTTTATGTGAAATAAGCCTTGGATAGTGATGGTGACTGGGAGGGGAAAAAAGATTCCTACTGCCTTAGATGTGAAGTTCAGCCAGCATGGAAACTGCAGAATAAGTTGTTTTGAAGCTGAGCCCTCACCTGTGTTGGGTAGATAATTAATGAAAAGAACATATTACACTAAAGTATATGGGGGAAAAACAAAATTAAATTAAAGTAATAGGTGTCTGATTTGTTGGTAACACTTTACAAGTAGCTCTCATCTACACTCACCTAAAGGATTACTAGGAACACCTGTTCAATTTCTCATTAATGCAATTATCTAATCAACCAA